GCTTGGGCGAAGCTGCCACCGATTAGGGTTGGATTGATACCATCCAGGGGTAGAGGAGCCCTCAGTGGTGATGGCGGCTCCAGCTTTGTGGATCCCTCGTGCTTCTTCTCACCTGCGCTGTCTGCCGAGAGCATCATCGGCTTGGCCGCGAAGACATCTACCACGGTGTCCATGTCGATCGCCGACGGTGCAGTCCCGAGCCGGTGAGTCTTGGATGCCTCTTCTTGCGGTCCGATGCACGATGCCGCTGATCCCAGTTTCTGCACATCGAGGTCGTCGTCCCAAACGAACGGGTGCTTCTCGTCGGAGGTGAAGGGGTGAGGCCTGCTGATCTTGTCCAGACATGTGTTGTCGTTAGCCAGTAAGAACCCATCAACAGATGCGTTCATCTGTTGATGCATCTCCAGCTGATCTCCGCCGTATAGTGCTTGCAGATCATGGGGAGAAGGGAAGCACATGGAAGGATCCAAATCTTTCATGGCAGCCATGTCGGCAAGCCCTTGATGATGATGATGATGATGATGATGATGATCTCCCGAGGTCATGCCGTCGGCGGCCAGTGTTTGATACGCCTTCTCCAAGATGCTTTGCATGTACTTTCCTTGGGCTTCGATCCTGATCTGCAGGTGTCTTTGAACCTAGAAACACAAAAGCATGCTTCAGAGTGCAAGATCGAATCAACTGTGTTAATCCAAGAGGGCATGTTCGATTACATCTAATTGCTCGTGCAGCCTCCTTTGGACTTCCATCTGCATCCTGATGGCTTCGGTTCCGTGCGCAGCACTCGTGCTATCATGATTCCAAATCCACCAACAATCTCAGCAACTATACATGTCATCTGCATAGGAATTGATACGGAGAGATCATGTAGAACTCACTCGTTCATGTTTCGACCCATCATTCGAGATGAAGAGACTGCGTTCCTTTGAAGCTCCAGTGCAGAAGCTGCCATCAGAGACATAAACACTCAGGGAAGACGCCCAAGGCAATGAAACTAGCGAGGATAAGCTGCTCACCATCCTTGAGTGAGTGTTCGTTGAATTCTTTGTGTGGTTGCTTCCCGAGCCGGAATTTCTACATGCAAAATCCTCAGATCAGCGTAGGAAACAGTTGCAAGCATGCGAAGAACACCTTTGTGGGATGCATCATCTACCTGAAGGTGGCTCTTGAGGTGATACAGGGTGAGACCTTTCACGCCCATTACTCTCATGATGGTTTTCGGCGTAGCCTCTGCAATAATTAGGAACAAGAAGAATCATTTGCTAGAGTTGGAAGTGTATATGAGAGAGAGAGAGAGAGAGAGACAGAGAGAGGAGGAGGAGGAGGAGAAGGGAGGTTGTACTGTCGGGGCCGCCGAGCTGGTTGACAGCGTCGACGAAGCGTTCATGGAGCTCGACGGTCCAGCGAAGACGAGGCTTGGGATCGGTGGTGAGGACGAGGCCAGAGTCAGCTTGGACGCACATAGGCCGGTCATGTGAATTCATAGTTGGCTTCTTGGAAGGGAACATTCTTGCTTTCCTCTCTGGTTCTCCTCTCCTGCTACGGAATTGGGAGAGATTCAAGAACAAAAAGGTGGCATATATGAAGGAATAGGGTGCGATATCTCTAGAGATGGCCTCAGAGCTCTCTCTCTCTCTCTCTCTCTCTCTCTCTCTCCTGGAAAGCCACCAACTTGAAACCCTAGCTCCTTTGCCCTCACTATGTGCATGTGCAATATGAGAGAGAGAGAGAGAGAGAGAGAGAGCATATGATGAGGTTATTATTCCTGTAGTCTCTGAGTAACCTTTTCTTCGAAACAAGGAACAGTAGATACCCCATGCAATCATACTGGCCTTAGCATACAACCCTACCTTCCTTTTCCTTTCTCTTTCTTTCTTTTTCTTTATTTTATTTTATTTTCTTGAGAGAGAAAATAATGATGGGACAGATATTTAATTACTTAGGACTCGTATGGAACTCCACAAGTCAAGGTTGCATGTCATATACGCTGCTCTCTCTCTCTCTCTCTCTCTCTCTCTCTCTCTACTGCATTCCAATGTCTTCATCTCTCTTATTTAAAAGCTTTTATTTGGACAAGAAATGAAGTGCACATAAAAAACACAGCTTGCCAGATATTGGAGCAACTAAGGAGGCTATGATAGTATAATCTATGGATTTCTACCTAAGAAAGAATTGATTCTGATCATGGCACTCATTCCCAAAACACTTGCTCACCATTAAAGATTTTGATTGCAGTAGATCCCACTTAGTTCCTCGAGATCTTTCCATGCATGCATTGCATCAAAGAGTGATTCTTCTTCTTCTTTTCTTTTCTTCCTGCTGTTGCGAGTGCAGCATTGTTCACTCACAACATGTATCAGCCAGCTTGTCCTGAAGTGAAGTTGGATACAACAACTCAAGCCCTAAAATATGTGACATAATAATCCATAAGAGAAAATAGGAACTTCATGCTTAACCAGTATGTTCACAATGTTAAGTGAGATCAAATCTTTGGACCTTATTATCAAGTGATTAAGGTATTTTTTTACGGATAAACTGATCGATATCTCTTAAAATTCATAGACTGACATTTCGAACCGTCATCGTAGAATAAGTGAGTCGGATATAACATCAACTTAAAAAAAAAAACTTATAAATTTAAAAAATAATGTAAAGTTGGTATAAGTCATTTGTTATTTTCATTAAAACCCTAAAAATGTGATATAATTCATAAGAGAAAGTAAGAATGCACAAAGTAAATAAATAGATTTATGAGATTACAACATTTAAAGAGTTAAATCCAAATCTTCAGAGTTTTTACTGGTTGGACATTTGGATGTACCTGCATATCTATCTGATTGTGGGCTCAACCAATAAAATCAAGGGAATATAAAGTTGTCTCAGCCATGCATAAAAGTCACAGTCACAGGAACACACAAAACATTCCATTACCAGTCAAATCCAAACAAGAGTTAAATAAGTCAAAGGCATTACTACTTGGACACCATGGCCCCCATGCAAAGGCCAAAAGTGGGGAGGATGAGTAAGAACAACATAAAGCTAAAGCTCTCTTCCTGCATGGGGAGGGAAATCCATTCCATTTGCTCTATTCCACCACTGGGAATAGATGCTTTCTTGTTTGTCTGTTCAACAAATATTCTTCTCCAATCTTCTATGCCATGGTTCTTCTTAATCACTCATCTTTTCTTTTCTGTGTATTTATTTTAGTGTGCATATATTTAAACTTCCATTGATACACAAGAGAATAGGACTTGTAGAATCTAATGTCACATAGGCAGTAAACTTTGTCCATAGCATAGCACAAACACAAGGGTTTAATTTTATTGCTGTGCTGTATTACTAGAAGAATTAATTCTCTATGAATGACTCTTACATTAAAAATAGAAGATGAGTTGTATCAGTATATTATGTTTGATGAACTTATCACAAATAATAGAGGTTTTGCTGCAGTGACCATATTCCAGTACATTTGTATTATACATAATTTTGATGATGAATCATATACTGTATTTAACTTAATATTACTATTATTATTTTTTCCCCCTCTAGTTTTTGAAATTTTATGGCATCATTCTTGATGTTCTAAAGTTGTGATTCTGCCTCTGTTAGATCATAGTATACTTTTTTCATGAGTATATATTCCAAGGAAGTGCATTGAAAAGCTAAGATTCCAAAAGAAGAAGATTTTAGGCACTACTACATAATTTGGCATACCTACCCTTTGTATCAGTGGCCACAACTTCTTGTTGCTGATGCAACTTGAGTTGAGTTAGATCGAATCCGACGAGCATGAAGACCAATTTGATCCAATCTTAATAAATTTGGTTGTTCGATATCTCATAGACTCTAGATAAATCTTAGTCCTTATCAAAATTTATTACCTCGGAGGCCTACGACTCATCCGATGCTCAAGTTAGCTAGCGTCGAAAGAGAATCATATATATTTTCTTTTATTCTTATAACAAAGTACTAAAGGTCTCTTCAGTAAAAGAGAGATTAAGAGAGTTAACTTGAAAATATTTTGCATAATCTCAAATGTTACTATGATACAAGAGTCAACTCATTAGTCTAATTAGTCAGTCAATGGGTGTCAAACATATTATATTAAACTCAAAGAAAAAAAACTATATGTTAATTAAAGTTTAAAAATGAGTTAATGGATCATATTAATCATTTGTAACGAAAGTAAAATCTTGATTATTATGATGTTCCACAATATTCATTTGGATCCAAAGATCACCTTCATCTTCTCTCAAGCATGCATGCTTCTCAGGTGGCAATGGAGAATGCAAAAGTCTAGAACACCGATTCCTTCGAGTCCAAGATGCAAAGGGGGCTGTACAATTTAGAATCCCGAGCAAAGTTGGCATTTACCTTTTAGCTAATTAAGACCCAAATCAAATCCACTAACCATGTTAGCTTACATTTCAAGCACCGAGATGCTCTTCACATGGATTCCTCCAGTAAAATATAAGTCAAGCTATGCTTTTTGCCAAGCTTCATGGAGGCTCTTCTTCATGCTTTGCCAATGGTCTCTGCAACCCCTCCATCTGACTCACACATTCCCTTCTAATTCCAATTCCATACACATAATGTTACACTATCTATAGTTTCATTCATTTTCCTGTGTGTTTCTAAGTATTGGAGTTTTTTGGTTGACTTATGTGCACTAATATGGCCATATTTCGATGTGTATGTAATTACATTTACATGCAAATATTACATTAGATTTCGAGAGCGAGAGGGTTATCAACTTTTGCGGGTCGGATTCGGGTCGACACGCACTTTGGGCCGGGCTTAACGTACGGCAGCTACATTAGATCCGATTTAGCACGAGCTTGATTTGGTCCGGTTTGATCCAACCGGATCGAGATCGATCGATGTAAGCCGGACCCGTTGCCATGGTCTGGGCACGTTCGCCGACTCGAAGCCCCTTCCGCAAGATTCTTAGAGAGAGAGAGAGAGTGACGAAGGCCCGAGAGGCGAAAGCGTGTGCGTCTCTCTTTCTCTTGTTTGTTTGTTTGTTCTTTGATTCGTGGAATCTGATTGTTCTTATGCGGCGGTGGATGCGTGGAGTTAGTTGAAAGCAAAGACGAGAATCGATTTGGGGGTTCTAGGAGACCGGGTGAATTAGGAGATTAGGGCACGGTGATTTGGGTGTACTGCAGTGTTGACCTTGGTGGGTGCGGTTGGGTTAACCTGGGGAAGGAATTGGTGGATGGTGTACTGCAGTGTCTTCTATTTTGTCTGTCGATGTATATAATATTCTAGAAAATAATTATGCTCTTCGTTCCTGCTAACATGGTGCACCAGATAACGTCTACAGAGAGAATATTTCCATTAGGTTATGGAAGTGCGGCATTGGAAGTCTTACGTTTTGTTTCACAAGACTTGGTATCTCTGTTTTTTGGAGTACCAAAATAAGACTTCTCTTCGCTAGGTGCGAAAAGGAAACGGGATGAAGTGGTGAGGAGGGACCTATAGATTTATTGGAGCATGGTGGAATATTGTGAAATGTTTAGCTGAACTAGATATGATGGATCGCACCTTTGCTTTTCTTTAGATATTTTGTTGACTGCTTTTAGGATCTTTGGTCTGTTCAAAATTATTATTATTTTTGGTTTGTACTGTATATTGTTTTGTACTTTACATAACCTACAATTAAATTTCTCCGTATAGTGATTGTGATATCCCACTTTTGTCTCACTTTGGATGTATGAGGACTGAGGATATTTGACTTGGTTTATAAGTGTATGATGCGTTTAATATGATTTACTTGAGCTTAAGCATTCTTCTGAGTAAGTGACTTAAATGAAAGATATTGTAGTTATCCTTTTGGGTCAGATCATGGCAAATGATATCAGAGTGGACTTGATATTTGATATGGTGAGAGAGTCAACTGGATCTCACATGTATTATACAAAAGTTTATTTTTGGTTGTGTTGCGTTTGGGTCTTAACGAGGACATTAAGTCTTAAGTAAGGGAGATTGTAAGATACACCAATTCAGTCACACATCAGATGTGTGAGGAGAGTTGATTTGATTTATTAAATTAGATGGGTTTAATGCAAATAATTTGGGCTTAAGCATTTTGAGCTAGGGGTTTGAACTCATTAAGTTAATAGGATAATTATTCTATGGAGGTAGGATCATGACAATTAGTGTTAGAGAGAATCAATGATTAGGTTGATGATTTTAATTTGTCTTGCAATGTGTTGACGCTTTGTTTCCAAACTTGATATTTCTTTTAACAGCTTGAGACAGTAGATCAAAGAGAGTCAGTTGAAATTTGAGGAGAGGATGTGGGAGACCATTTAACAAGACTAGCAACAGAAATGAGATACTATAATTTCACTTGAATGTGAAAATAATAGTCCCAGAAGATGGAAGGCAAGGATTTATATCCTGAATGAAGGTATCAGTTACAATTTTTTACTTTTATTTTTATTTTTATTTTTTTATGTATGCTTGTTCTCCTTAATACTGGTTTTGGCTAGGATTGTTGATGAATAATGATGCTTTCAGCGGCTATGAATTATGTTTTGTTAAAGATAAGTTCTTGGATATTTGATTTTCCATGTTGTTTTGTGTAGTTGGGATGGTTTATTTACCCTTGGGGTAGTGAAGCCAATTCATGGATCATCACTTGGAAATTATAATCTTCTGTCGATGGCTTAAAACCTCATGTTATCTACAGGTCTTTGTGTATTGGGAATCTGACTTCATAGGCTTAGTGGGTGGTCTGGTTTTTGTGTCTTTTCTGGAGGTAAAAGACGAGCAGAGAGAGTGGTGTCGGATATGTGTAATTCAAGGAGAGGCAACCATAGTTTTTCTAAGCTAAGATGGAAAGTTTTGGAAGTTGTAGCCTATTGGACATGTGTTGACACTGGGTATTAGCATAGGTATGCCTTTAGAATCATAAAATTGCAACTTTTCCTGCAAATTTTAAAATACACATAAATCTCTGAAAGAGTTTATATGAGAGAAACTAAAAGTTTAAACCTTGAAGGAAGAATATGAAAATGTCCAAGCAGAAAAATCAATAGTAGTCTTCTAAAAAGGATAAGATGAAAGGAAAAATGGTGGTATGGTGGGATTTTTTTTTTAAATGTGAAACTTTTGCATTTGCATGTCATATCAGGTAAGCTAGTTACTTGTGTAAGAATCCCTCAGGGACATTGGTAAATTATATATTACTTTAGCTTTCTTAAGGTGTAGGATTGCTAAAATGAAAAAAATCATGAAGGTCTGCTTAGAGTCTGTAGAACTGCTTGTATATTACTTGCCAATAACTTCGTTTGGTCCAAACCATTGACTAAAATGCTTAAGCTGGGAGTTATCGTAGTATACTCATCAGACCCAATGGTGGCTCCACGTCGGGACGAGTTCTCTGATTCCATCCATGGGTAATCCTTTCCTACTCGAGTTTTGATACCAAATGTTCAAATACTAGGTCGGTTTTGATACCAAATGTCACAACCCGAGTCTAATGGTCTAACTGGCTAATAATTCAATATGGTCCAAACCACTTATCAAAATACTTAAGTTGGAGTTATCACAGTATACTAATCAGACCCTTATAAGTCAATTTTAGTCTTTGCTTACTTCCGATGTGAGATTAATTGGGGGTGTTACAACAGATGTTTATGACACCATAGAATATTAGGTGTTGAGATGATCGGATTTAAAAAAACATGGTCACCTGAGCTTAATAGAAAAACTTAAATCTCCACAAGAAACACAATTAAGTTGGCTCTTTGGTTTATGTTGAAATGGTTCAGTAATATTTCTTGCAGGCATATATTTTCAAATTGTTAAACATAAATAGAATTTTAAGTCAGTATTTTCTGTTGACCCAAATATATGTGCTTTATTCTTGCATAACATTGGAACTGGTATATTCTAGTGGCAGATTAAGACCATCTTTCTATAATAATAATTGTCAAGACATATTTTTCCATTTGGACTGATCCACTAGTAGGTACAGACAAGTCTTCTAATTCGACAGTTTTTGTTTTTCTTGCCAGCAAAACATTTAGCTGATGCAAAAAAAGTCTTCTGTGGAGCTTTGGTAATAATCACTTGTTCTTGTCATATCTGTATTCTAAGCATTATTCTGTAACAAATCGAGACATTTGAACTACATTTTGTTGACTACCAGATATTTATTCAGGCATATGGGTTGGCGGATTAGGTTCATCCTACACGAGAACATGGTAAGTTGCCTAGAAACTAGTCGGTCTGCTTGCAGAGTGCATCTGTATCAGGGTGTGCTAGTTTTTCTCATTTCCAAGATGACTACACTCTGATTTTGATTGAAACAGTCATTCCATTCTGATGCCTTTGGGTATCTACGCAGTGCCCCTCTCCCTTGTAATTTTAAATATATTGTCGAATGAAATTTGGGTTGTGACTGCTTCCATTAGCGGAGAGATTTCTTTGGTGGCTTCTAACTTCATGATGCCTACTTTGTTATCAGTTTGTGTTTTAGACATGTAATTTGATTGCTGCACTATGAGACCACTTGAGGGGATGATGGCAGCTGGTCATCATCACTGTCTAATGTATTTTAAATATTTTGGCATCTTATTGTTGACCTGATGCGTTAAATTTGAGCAAGTCTACGAGTCTAATCAGCATGTACAATGGATAGGCACAAAATTTTGATTTGTCTTTTGCATGTCAGTATTCTGAGATTTCCAGTACTTATGTGCCTTGTGTTCTTTCATACCTTTACCCAAAAAAAATGATGTTGATGATTAGGCTAATACTAGCAATGTTACAAGAACAACACCTCTATCTTGTGATCCCTAAAACGGTGTGGATTACCATTGATTTCAATACATTCTCCGATTATATGCATGTCATGTTTGTGATGCATCGAATATGTACAGTTGCATCTATTGAATCAGGTAAGTTCACTAATTTTGAGGAAAAAATGTATACGTTATAAAATGACACTCTTTGTTTTCACAGTATTGCCACGTGCACTGACTCGACCAGGTTTCGATGATCACGATCTTTGCCGGAGATCAGACGAATCGTCTCCTCACACGTCATCTTTGTGTCTGTCCTCATTCAGCTGCCACCGCCCACATGTCGTCAACTATCACATTAAGCACACCAACTTGGTTGACTGACTTGGCGATCGTTATCTTCGTTTCGATTCACGACGTCCGTCCGTTCCTCTTCTTACTCGGATCTTAAAGCAGGATATATATATATATATATATATATATATATATATATATATATATATAATGTCTCCGGTCCGGTCTGCATCGAAGCCGCCTCCGCCTATGTAAGACGTTGGGCAAGCAAACGAAGCGCTCGAAGCTGGTGTTTGCGGAGAAGATCCGGGAATAGGGGATGGAGAAGGCGTCCTCGATTCTTGCCTCCATTTTTGGCTCGCGGGAGTCGGCGGCCACCGTCGCCTCAATCTACGTCTACCCGATCAAGTCCTGCCGTGGCATCTCTGTTCCTCGAGCTTGCGTCACCTCCACGGGTTCACTAACCAGATTTCCCTTCCAATTGCCCGTTTCCTTCTCGGAGAATTGATGTTAGCCTTGAGAGTTCACCCCACATCCTCATAAATTGCTGAGGACTTCTTGAATTGACATTCTTGACCAACACATTTATTTTTAGTTATTGATATTGAGTTCACTACAAGTATACTTATTTTATTAGATGTTTATCTCATTAAATATGGCTAGTGCATTTGGTCTATTGATAGCTTTTTATAAGGATGATTTCTGATACTCTTAGGTCATTCTCGTCATCCATTTGGAGCACTATGTTGGAGATATAGTTGCATTTCTAGTCGCTTGTCTCAACCGACTGTTTTCATTTATCTGTAGGACTTCGATGGGATCGGCAGTGGTTGGTTGTGAACTCAAATGGAAGGGCATACACTCAAAGAGTTGAACCAAAGCTTGCTTTGGTTGAGGTAGGGCTGCCGATGGATGCCTTCAGGGAAGATTGGGAGCCAAATGATACCTCATATATGGGTGTGTAAATCATTTGCTAAAGGATAATCATCATAAGATCATTATAAATCAATCATTTCAAGTTATAAGAATATTGCAAGCCAATTTTTATCAGCACAATTTAGGAATTATGATGATTTGCTTTTAGTTGATCATCTACCATTTTGTTAAGAGATAATTATGCATTTCGGTTCACCTGCTTGGCAATGCCAATACACCGTGATTCTTAAAGTAAATTTTTATATATTTAGCTTAGGTTTCTGTTAGATATAGTAAACATATTACGAGATTTGCTGGATAAGAACTGTGCAGAAAAAATTCTTTAACAAATTGACCTACCTTTTGGCAACAGAAATAGAAGAAATGTCTTGGGTACATTGGATCTTTTCTTCGAAGGGAGTGATTGAAACAGGACATGAATCTTATTAATGTGGAAAGTTGTGTTTTAAGTCTTCTACAATTGTCAACTATCCTTCCGTTTGGAAGGATAATATATAATAAGGTAGCTATATGATCTAACATATATATGGATCAGAGTGTTGGAAGGATAAGAATATACATATTCCAAAATTAGTCTTATATAGATTAGAAAAAAAAAAGAAGACTGAGATCAGCTATATCTTCTTAATCAGTGTTGGAAAGTTTATATGCAAAAATGTTCCAAATTTTAGTATGATATAGACAAGGACATTGATGTGGATGCTAGGTTTATGTGAAAAGAAAGGATAACAATAATTGCACTCATGATGAGGTAGGAACATTTCTGACTGGTAGAGAGGAAAGATGTTGATGAAGCTTTAGATCAAACACTTGGAAGTCTACATTATATGTGCAATAATATGGAAAGTTAAATCAATTCAAGTTACAGGGTTTTAAAAGGGGAAGAGAACTAAAAATGATGGTGGGTCAAAAATAGGAAAAAAATTAATAACAAATTCAAAATATCGTTATCTGTCCTCTTCGATTAAACTAAAACTAGTACTTACTAAAAAAAAGTTTGGGAAGAAAAGGAAAATAAAGGAAAAGAAGTCATTAGTAGTTTGAACTTTGAACAGTTATGTATGACAAGAGAGTGAGGAAAACAAAAGAAAAGTTACTTGTAACTACAAAAATATTTGAATATCCTTCCTTTACACAGCTAAGTGGAAGTAAAAGTTCATGTGGAAGGAAGCCTTGGTTTTTTGCGAGCAATGTTGATCTTTATCACTTAGAGTTTGTTTCTTTTGATCCATTGTCTGGTGGGAGAGACTGAACATCGAGTCACTTCACAGTATTCCCATTTCAATTATATTCCAATCTTTCATCATAACTACCCATAAATGTTTTGCTAAAAATTATCAGTAAATTTCAGTGTACTAAGCAACAATGTTGGTTTTAGGTTTTCATTAATATTATTCTATTAATTTCACCTAATATGATTCCATGTTCTATATTCATAAAACAACTATACTTAGTAAATGTTATTGGCCATATTTTCTCTGTGAATTTCATATTCTCTGCATTTTCTACAGTTATAAAGGCTCCTGAAATGGAGACACTAAAGATTCCTCTGAATAGAGTGTGTGATGTAATTAATGACATCTCTGTCTGGGAATGGTCTGGTTCGGCACTTGATGAAGGCAATGAAGCATCTGAGTGGTTTACGAAGTATCTCGAAAAACCAAGTCGTCTAGTGCGTTTCAATACTGGTAATTATCTTTCGGTGATCTTTGTATTTCTTTCAATGCTAATGTTCTTCAGTCTGATAATATGATGGTAGGGAGAGTTTTTTAGTTTTTTAACTGATATGGTATAGTAAGTAATATTGCACTTTTTGTAGTGTCTGTTTGTATCTTATTTACTTGGCCAATAACACCAGTTTCTTTTTGTTGATTCCCCAACCATCCTAAATTTACTCAAAATGTATTTTACCTGTATTGTCTTAATTATGTAGAAGATATTCTGTTGCAAGTTCAGTGCTTTGACTGCATTTCACCTGATGAAACCTATATTGTCATCTATGTGGTTTCTTTTACTATACATCTACCTTATCCTTTTTCATTTTAAGTATGACATTTTGATTTAATAGTTTATGCCTTGGATCATTTTCTGAAGCTAGTATAGAAGATTATCTGAAAAAAGTTGAGACTTACGGCTTTGTTGTTTTTGTAGTAGTATAGAAGATTATCTGGAAAAAGTCATGAATGCTGAGTTCTATTTATAAATAATTAAATAAAACCATTTTTTTTATTTCAAAGTTATTCCATTTTGGTGTCCTTTTTCATTTTGACACTGTACCTGTGAACTTTTCCTGTCATGTCTAATGCATCAGTATATGAAGGTGCTGATAAAAATTTTTCGCTATAATATTGATGTTTCAGCATCAGAAATTAGAGCAGTGGATCCCAACTATGCTCAGGGATATAGAACCGTGTTCTCTGATGGGTTTCCATTCTTATTGGCATCCCAGGTTAGCTACATCCTAAGTGGAACTGCAAGATTCCAAATGCTTTTACTCTACTAAGGCAGAACTCAGTTTTCTTTTCTAAGATAACATATGCAGGGATCATTGAATGCTTTGAATGAGCTTCTGGAAGAACCATTACCAATTAATCGCTTCAGAGCAAAGTAAGAGGCAATATATAGACAATTCATTCTTTTTCAAATCTTGAATGCAGTTGGAAGTCATATCGTTTTAATACGCTGCAATTTTGCATTGTTGGTGTGGTTTACTATGATAGGTTCATCACCAGTGAAATCATTTTTCAGGCACTTATGAGTTAACAATTTTGTTTTTCAGTATCCTTGTCGATGGATGTAATCCATTTTCAGAGGACCTGTGGAAAGAAATAAAAATAAACAAGTTGACATTTTATGGTGTCAAATTATGCTCACGTTGTAAGGTAACATGTCTTCTCTTTCGACTCTGTAATATTATGAGTCAGATATTATTGTTGTTTATTTTGGATTTTATTTATCATAATGTGCATACGAATGTTACATCCGTAGGCTTTCAGTAATTGGAAAAAAACTTTAAAAGCATTTCTGCATTTTTTTTTTAACCTCTAACAAAGCCTAACCTCAAACAAATGGCATAAAACAAAAACCAATTCCCCTCCTGCTCTCACCTTTCCCAAGCAATTCATCAGCATTGAGTTTAACCCAGTCTAAAGGCCAGCTTCTTTATGTCAATTTAACCCAATTGAACCCAATGTTCTTCAAGAGCATGGAATGGCCTTGTAATAATAGAAAAATAAGGCTAGCTCAAGTGCATATAAGAATTCATTCTTACACTTCCACAATAACCATTGAAAATTAGCTACAAAGGTTTACAATTCTTTGCCTCTGCCTAAATCAGTAACCTCCTTTAGGCCAAATATTGAAATATTAGAACTGCATGCAGAAGAACTATGTAGTGAAGTTGCATTATAAAAAACATGCAAGATATTATCATCACTGAACAAGCCCATTTGGACATTACTTTGAGAGTGACCATTTGTGCTTAGGAAGCAAGCCAGTTGCCAAATTCAGGCTTAGATTAGCCAGACAGTCTACTAGATCTATTCCTACCTTAACCACCATGGCCAGGCTAATTTAGAATTTTTATGGATCTTTTCATTTATTTCTTAAGATTTTTGTAGGTATGAATATAGATAAGCTAATCTCTACATTCGATTTGAGTTGCTTGCCATTTTCTTCAGGTACCAACTATCGACCAAAATAATGGAACTGCCGGGGATGAGCCAACACAAACTCTAATGAAGTTTAGATCAGACCATGCTTTGCATTTAAAGAAAAAGCAGGGGAAGGTAAAATCTCTTTGACTTTGACTTTATTCTAAGTAGCTATTTCCACATATATGTCTGACCATCAATACTTGCATGACTATATTCTCACTAAACAGGAACATCCATATTAATTTCACTTTTCTATGCCATAATGCTTAACTATGTGACAGTGCTTAACTTTATGCTCTATGAAAATGAAAAATGCAGGTTTTCTTTGGACAGAATTTGGTCTGCAAAGATTCACTCTCAGCAATGGGCAGGGCGAAAGCTGTAGCGGTTGGGGATCCAGTTTTTGTTCAACAGAAGTTTTCTTCTTCTGCTGATGCACCAATCTAATCATCCAAGAACTTCAATTCGAGGTAATTGAGATGATGTTATGATGCTGAAGAACTTCTATAACAATACCTATCTAAATATGTATCTACTCTGTAGTGTATGGATAGATCAGAAAAGAAGGTAAAATTAAAGACTACACTAAAATGCTTGTCATTATGGCAATTTATGTAGCAATTTGGCTTTCAGAGCCTTCTGTCTCTTATTTCTGAGTTCTCCTTTCAAACAAATAAGCATACATTGTGATTGTGGAGAAAAAGGTCAACTTATCTTGTTAAAACATGACATAACAAATATCCTACTCATTCCTGGAAAAATTACTCTTACATGATGCAAATGTTATCACAACCCTGAAACACAGATACTGCATCTTTCTCCTTTTAATCAGGTCTATCTATGAACCTCAAATGCAAATGCTGTCAGACTTGGCAAAACAGGCTGATATGAACCAACATCACAAGTAGCAACCCATTGAGTCTGTAGCTACCCTCCTTGTTGAGGACAACCCATCATGCATGTCCACAGGGCAGTACCAACCTCATGCATTTCCAACCTGTTGTGCTGTGTTCACAACCAAATGAAACATAAACTATAAGTTCTCAAGCAGTGGCTCATTACCGGCTGCTGACGGCGGATTAAACCATATCAGCCAGCTTACGACAGAAGAAAGAAACATATTAAATGATTCATGTCCCAAAGGAAGAAACATGAAAACAGGTAAAGAAACAAAAAAAAGAAAGTGTTCTTCTTTGCTAGATGACCGTCCTTTATTTCTTCGGTGGTAAATGGTTCTAGGCAAGCATGGCCGTGACATTTTCTTCCTTGGTGAGCCATTCCTGGGTGGCAACAAGATCAGGAAGCACGACGGCGCCAGACTTTCTCCAGTTCTCCGCATCCGATGTCTTGAACCTGTCCAATATCAAGGCTTGCATGCCCACACTGCTGGCTGGGAGGTAGTCCTTGCGCATGCTGTCCCCGATGTGCACTGCTTCTTCTGCTGCAATGTTTCCTGCCTTCTCCAGCGCGATCTCGTAGATCCTTGGGTCAGGTTTTTCGACGCCCTCTACACCTGAGAATACGCCAAAGTCCCATTCTGATCCCTGCGAAACACAAACTTCATTGGTAACAAAAATCAACAACAATGATAACAAAGTCGTAAAGCCCTAACTATTTCCTTTAGGCCACATGGATCTTTTTGAACCATTAAGCTCTGTAAAGTTGGTAGCAACCATCACATGCTAATTCAAATGTTGGTACCATGGAAACAATGGATGTACTGTGAGAGCATGCAAGGAAATCACGGTCAGCACCTGATTGATTCCCAGGGCAGGAAGAATGACATCTTGGTACCGGTATTCCGCATTGCTGACGATTCCAACCATCAAGCCCTTCTGACGTGCCCATCTGAGGAAGGGTTGAGAGTCTGGAAATACGACGTAGGGCGCAGAAGACCCGAAAGACGAATATATGCGCCTGAACACCTTCTCAAATGTCTCCGCATCATATTCATAGCCTGCCTGAAGGGTAACAACATAAGAAAGCAAGCTATTAGCTGTAAGCCTATAATTATAAAGGTTCTGCAATGTCTAACTTGAAAACATGTAACAGCCTATTTAAACAGCTGAGCACACAAATTAATCTCAATCTGAATATTTTCATGCTTTGGAAAATGGTTATGGTGCTCATGATCAGCGGTCACTCGGAGAAGTCTACCTATTCATGAACACTTTTGGTCATCGTGTACAGGTTGTAACATGGCCAGTTCATAAGGTCATCTATTTTTAGAGCTAAGATAGAAAAGCTCATTGGAGGCGTAAAATTTGGATCTTCTATTGGATAGTTGCCTAGTAACGGTCACTTGCTTGTCCCTAATCTTCCATCATATACTAATGCTTGACGTTTAAAGGGTAAAAGATGCAACAGAAGCTAACAGCAAAACTCTTTTCAACATTTCATAATAAATATGGTAGGAAACCTCGGTCTGCCATCAAACCCAGGTGATTTGTTTACCCTGATGAAGGAGTCCTTCACACATGCTCTCCACCAGTCGATATTTGGCATTTTTGCTGCATGTCCAAAGCATGGATACTCTTTCACCATATCTGTGTATGCAGCCTTGAAGCCTTCATGCATGCGTTTGTAATCCGGACAAGGCAATCCTACTGCTTTAGCTGCCATGCAGTAGTAATCCCCGAGTTCTCCCTTGTAAGCTATTAGAGTACCCGTGACGTCCACGGTGATACAACGCAACTTCGACAAGATAGACATGGTTACTGATTCTTCAACTTGATACCTCACTTCTTTTCATAAGTAACTTAATGAAGTCCTACAACTTCAATTATAGTGCCAAATTGTCTCTGCATACAGAACCGATTAAACATGTCACGTGTAGTACAAATGTGTTTACAATTCAACATTTGATATTTATTTATTAGAAGAACTAGGATGCAAATACAAAAACAATATGTTAGTTCTTGTTGCTTGAAGCAAAAGCCAAGCATATTGTCAGCAATGAGCTGAACCTTAAAATGAACATAACTAAAGTTGCTGCCCTAAGAATCATAAAATAGAGTTTTAAAACATTTTCCTAAGATGATCACAATTTGGAGAACAACTAATCTGTATCACAAGGGAGGATAATAAGGTTTACACCACTGTATCACCACTTTTTTGTTCAATAAGGAAACATGTTATAGGAATTACTTGTTTATTCTTTGGTTGCTTGGAGGTTGCAGGGTAGTAACTTAATTATCAGCAAATATGCCATTCTGTACTTAATTATCAGCAAATATGCCATTCTGTACTTAGTTTGTATCAATCTCACAAAGGCTCAAATTAAGAATCACACTATACAAATTATTCACTATGATATGGATTATGGTACTTCAACCCAATATGAACCTTTTTCTTTATTCCCTTTTCTCTTGAACTATTTCATGTCAATCTATTGTTAATCCTACAAAACTGAACTAAACTAACTGGTTTAGGGCATTTGTTTCTCTAGCACAGTGCTGCCCTCCTCCGGAGCTCTTTTTCTTCTTCCACCTCCTCCACCAAGCCAACATACAAGTAGCCTCAAAAGTCAAAACACCACCCGGTGGTCGGTGGCCATCACTATTTTTTTTTTTTCATTTCTCATCTTTTTCTTGATATACAGATATGTGGCATCACATATGTAATCATCTAATAACAAGCTGTAACTCGAAGTTGCAAATCTATTTCTATTACTTTACCACCACACCGGATGAACCTAAAATATTGCAAAAGAAATGGATATTATTATCATATTTAAATTAGTGATGGAGATGAACATATAAGATGGATGATATATGGTGGAATTAAATCAAAACGAATCTACAAAAGGATATGCAAAACTATATCGAAATACCAACTCCAGTGGTCAACTTCATTACATCAGAAAAATCTATATGATGCAGAAGAAAAATACTGATTCACTATCAGTTAACAGATCAAAACAGACACAGAAGCAGGAAATGAAATCAACGACAAGACTTCACTTCTGAGACTCAGTTAATAACATGAAATAACCACATAACAGAAGTAGATACAATGGAATAAAATCCAAATTATAGAAATCTTCCATACTGTCGTTTGGAGCCAAAAACAAAAAAGTGAATCGAAGTAGTATCTTACCAACCGGAAATCAAGAAAAAATGCAAACAATGACACCAAAAATATACTATTGATCGTATATTACCACAAAAATAAAAATAAAAAGATCACAAGATATTTTTCATGCAAAGGAATCGAGGCTCCATGGTTTAACAGAAAGACTTATCAGAGACCAAATCCAAAACTCTAGTACCAATAAACAGTAGCTAAATCAGAAACTAAGAAAGCCTTCTTCTTTTTTTGCAAAGGGTAAGTTATGAAGGCAAGATTCGAATCCAGAACCTTGTGATAATCTACAAAGTCTTTATTAGCTAAACTAATTAGCACATTCAACTAACAGTTGAAGTGTCTATTCTTCTCAGTTTAATATCTGATATGTGGGTCATTGATCCACTATGATATTATATTAATTTATTGTGAGGGAGGGCTCATCACAATAGCACCAATCCCACTTACTAAAATGGTTGAGAGTTTGAAACATCATCGACATATTTTTGGTCATGGGTTTGACTCCTAAGTTTAAGCAGTAAAACCCTGGTTCTCCAATATGAAACAGCTACAGTGCACCTAAATCCTCATCTCTTGTTCTCTATAACAACAACATACAGATCATAAAAATTGCATACCATATCATAGCAAATCGAGGCCGGGCCATATATCCTGCAAAAGAAAAAGGAGAATCACATGAGGTATCGAACACGATTCCCTTGCCACGATCCAGAATCACATAAGAAAGATAAATGGCATACGGGTAGCCCATCTAAGAACATATAGATACTTCAAAGATAATGAAATCAGATCCGGTTGATGAGCTGAAGGCCACAATATTTGTTGGGACAATACAAAGAAAAAAAAAAAGACAATATAACACCTCACAGCAGTGAAATCAGAAAGCCAGATAAAATCCCAAAATCAACTGCCGAGTTCAACTCCAAGATCCAATCTTGAACCGTCCAGTGGATCAAGAACAGAAGAACAAGATCCAAAATTACATCTACTTGCTCAAGATTAAGACGAGAAAAATGTGAAAGGAAGCTGTTAAAGAAGAAACAAGAGGTGATGGAAGCTCCACAGATACTGAAATCAGATCCAAAAATGAGATGAAGGCAACATTATAACAAAACAAAGAAGAAAAAAGAACACCTCACAGCCGTGAAATCAGAAACCAAAAAGCAGCAGCCAAAATCCAATCTTTAACCCTCCACCGCCACGAGAACAGAGAAATAAGATCCAAAAACATCCAATTGCTCCAATTCAAACGGAATCGAGGCGAGAGAAACCTTAAAGAAGCGACAAAACCTGCGAGCTTAAGCGGTCAATGAAGAAGCAAGAGGCAAAATGAGGTCCCCCGGAAACCAATGGCGACGCAGCTCCATTACTCGGAGACTTACCGCGGATTACTACTGTGATCGTTCGGTTTCCTTCTTCGAAACCAATGTGGTTTTGTTGAGCTTTCCGCTGCGAAATACCAGCGGAAGCCGACGCTTGTTTTGCCTCCCTNTCTCTCTCTCTCTCTCTCTCT